GGGATTTTATATTTGAGTAATTTCGGATTACAAAGTGCAGCCAATGCAAGGAGACAAGATTGAAAAACCTTATCCATATGCTTATGCTTTATAGTTCTTAAGTCATGTTTGCTTGTATTGGGTTTTTATCGAGTTGTATCTTTAATTCTTTCTAGATCTAGTGAAGTATAAACTAGAGTAGGAATAATGTCTTCAAGTAGGGGGGACTTAAAGACCCACCAAGAACATAAATCTTGGGGGGGGGGGGGGGGGGGGGGTTGTGTTGGAGTTTAGGAATTAGAGTTACTGGGATTGTAAGAGTTGTAATCTGAATTCATAACTTGAAGTAGGGTTGATGATCTAGTTGTTTGCTAGCATCTAGGAATTAGAGTTTATAATTCCTTAGGTTTTGTACGTTTGTAATCTTTTGTTGAGGCTCAGAGTTTAATGAAGTAGAGTTAAATCCTACAGATATGTATGTCGTGGTTTTTTTACCCTTTATGAGCCAGGATTTTCCGCGATAAAATACTGTGTCATTACTTTATTTTCTTTACATAAAGTAGTTGTTATAATATCAAAAGGAACATATATGATATACCTATTCCTTAGACAAATTTGGGGGTCAGTGTGTAACACCCCGCTATTTGGAAGAACTAGAATTAGAAATAACCATTTTTGGAAATATTGGCAAGTTATGTTGAGTATGAGTTTTGGCTCAATTTCAAATGATCATAACTCTCAATACAGAATGAGTTAGATGTGCCATATGATATAAAGTGAAATTTTTTTGAATTATTTCTCCAACGCCACCGAGTTTGCTAATTTTCGAGCTTGTACGAGGGAGATATGCCCGTTCGAAGTCGGGTTGTCTAGTTAAGGAAAGTTACGCGAATTTAAGAGGGGTATTTTGGTCTTTTCCCTACAAAATTGGTTTAATTAATTTTTAGGAATTTAATTGGGGTCTAAACTGATTTGGTTTAGTTTACACTTTGCAAAATTATGCTAGGGCTTTGACAGAAGAGAAAAGAGGAGAAAGGCCAAGGTTCATCGCGTTCTTGAGTTTCACTTGCGGATTTCACCAAGGGTTAATCCCTACGAGGTATGTGAGATCACATAGTGTTGAGTTTGTTCACCCACGCGCCATTCATGATTTAATTTAGCGTATTTATGTTCTTGAAAGTAGAGTAATTGAGTTCTTGATGGATTTTGTTGAAGATTCTATTCAGATCTTTACTGTTGAGGTTTTGAGGGCTTCTTGAGTTAATTGCATAAGATTTGAGGTTGTTTTTGAGTAGATTCTTGTATACTTTGGTTGGGTATTCGAGTCTAAGTGTTTGGGGAAGAAACCAATCGAATCTAAGACGTTTTAGGGTCGAAAAATGAGCAAGAAAATTCGTGGGTTTTCTGAGCAGGGGGCTAGCGCACCGCGCCACTCAGTGCACCAGCATAAGGTGTTTGTAGTTTGGGCTCTAGAGCGCCACGCCACTCAGTGCTCCTCAACCCAGACTGTGCATTTTAAGGTCTGGCGCCCTGGGCCACTCAGTACGCCAGGGTCGCCAAGTCCTCTACCCTTTCCCACTTCTTTCCGTTTGAGTTCCCTTGAATCGTACCTATGTTTTCTAGTTATTTTCTACACTCTAAGGTACGTCTAAACATTATGAGATCTTCCATAGACACAAATCATAATCGTGAATCCATAATGTATATTACTGCTTTATATTGAAATGAGTTGAGACCAGGTATGTTCATTCAGTTTCTTTCAAGCTTATGTCTTGTTTTAGAATTCCCTTTGCATGCTCGTACATTTAATGTACTGATGTTATTTGGTCTGTATCTTTTATGATGTAGATACAAGCAACCATGATCAGCGTCCAATGTTTCGTTGATCCAGTTGAGAATTTCAGAGTCATTTGGTGAGCCTCCTTGTTTTAGGGAGGATCCTTTTTATATTGTTTTAGTATTTCAGTTGTTAGAATGATCGTGGGTCTTGTCCCAATATCCCTCTTAGTATTAGAGGCTTCATAGATGGATAATTATAGTTCATTAGTCTTTCCATATTCAACTATTTTGTTATAAGGCTTGAGTTACAACTAATTTGGCTAGTTGTATGTTTAATTCAAAAACATTCTAAGTTATTTTGAGACAGTTGAGTAAAATTACATTTGTTTTCTTTTAATTAATGCTTAAAGTCTTCCGCTAAGAGTTTATCCAGGCCAAGGGTTCGCTTGGGGCCAGCAATGGTTCTCAAGTGCCAGTCCCGCCCAAGGTGTACGCTCGGAGAGTGAAAAACTTGGTATCAGAGCACAGAGTTCAAGAGTCCTAGGGAGTCTATGAAGTCATTTCTATAGAGTCCTACTTATCGGTGTGAAGCGTGCCACATCTAAAATTAGGAGTCTGCGACATTTAGGAACAATCTCACTTCTTTCATACTCATTTTGTGCGATAGAGTTTATCTCTAAAAAGTTTCTTTTAATTCGTGCTCGCACGTGTCTTTCAGATCATGCCTCTATAAAAAGCTATCAGAGGTTGTCCCACTACGAGTAATGTTGAGGAACAAGGGGTACCTAATGCGCTAGAAGTGCAACCCCAAGGAGAGGTCACCAATGCAGAATTTCGGGAATGTCGAAGAACAAGGGGTATCTAATTTTCAAGCTCGTATGAGGGAGATATGCCCGTTCGAAGTCGGGCAATCCAGTTAAGGAAAGTTACCCGGATTTAAGAGGGATATTTTGGTCTTTTCCCTACCCAATTGGTTTAATTCATTTTTAGTAATCTAATTGGGGTCTAAACTTATTTGGTTCAGTTTAAGCTTTGCAAAATAACTCTAGGGCTTTGAGAGAAGAGAAAAGAGGAGAAAGGAGGAGAAAGGCCAAGGTTCGTCGCGTTCTTGAATTTTGCTTGCGGATTTCACCAAGGGTTAATCCCTACGGGGTATATGAGATCACATAGCATTGGGTTCATTTTCCCACTCACCAATCATGATTTAATTCAGCATATTTATGTTCTTGAAAGTAGAATAATTGAGTTCTTGATGGATTTTGTTAAAGTTTCTATATGGATCTTGATTGTTGAGGTTTCGAGGAGTTCTTGAATTAATTTCATAAGATTTGAGGTTGTTCTTGAGTAGATTCTTGTATACTTTTGTTGTGTATTCGAGTCTAAGTGTTTGGGGAAGAAACCAATCGAATCTAGACGTTTTAGGGTTGAAAAACGAGCAAAAAAATTCATGGATTTTCAGTGCAGGGAGCTGGCACACCATGCCACTCAGTGCGCGAGCATAAGGCATCTGTAATTTGGGCTCTGGGACTCCGTGCCACTCAGTGCACCCCAACCCAGACTGTGCAGTTTAAGGTCTGGCGCCTAATGAGTTTGAGATTTGGACTCATTTAGGGCTTTATTTATAATGATTTAGTATCCTCAAATGCTTATTTTGTGCAAACAATTGATGTAAAACCCTTGATCTTCAGATATATGGATTGAGGAACAAAGCTAGGACATAAATGGGCAACGAAGACAACACGAGCGAAAAAGAGAAGGGAAAACAAGCGTGATGATCGCCGATGTAACTCGGCGACTCGCCAAGTCTCCACTCTACCGCCTAAAGTTACAGAACGCTGAGGCTAGATTAGGAGTAGCCTCAGCGAGCAGTAGTTCCACTTGGTGCGTCGCCGATCGCATCGGTAATGGATGACAAGGTCGTCGAAAGTACTAATAGAGATCCAGATAAGTGCTTATGGGCGTGATCAAAGGAAAAAGGGTGCATCGCGAAATGAGATAACGATCCCGATCTGGCTTGACTAAAATTATAGTGGTTGGACTAAGAAGAGGTGAAAAATGAAGGTGAGACGAAGGAGAATCGGCGAGTCACCGAACGATTGGCAAAGCCCGACTTACCTCGTTGATTGGTCCCAAACAGCCACACATCAGACTTGCATGAACTGATTTTTGGAAGAGAGAGAAGGCATTTAGAAATGTAAGGAACAAAAGACTGAGAGCAAAAACACTACCCTTGTGGATTTCAAGTGGTTTTAGCAAGGTTTCCCATTTAAATTTTGTAATAGATAAGATTTTGGTTAATTTTAACTTTCAAATTTTGTTTACCCAGCTATGGAAAATGTGACAAGTATTGAATTCCATCTTTTCACTATGATTGGCTAAAACCCTAACCTTGGGGGTGTGACCATGTGACTAATTGTTGAATTTTGCTAAATAGGTGTTATCGATTAGTGATTTTTTATGTTAATATGAAGCGGGTCTAAATTACTATGGTGGTTTAACGTCCGTATTACATAGTTAGTGTGATAGATTTCAGAGGTTTGTGCTTGCTCGAGAGAGGAGTACAAAACCAACATAGTAATTTGGCATCCTTAGTAATGGCTCTTGACGATTTCAGCTTGAGAAAGTGAAACCTAAGAGCTAGCCTTTGTATCTAGCTTGAGAGAGTGGATTTGATGAGAGCGTGGGGTGGTTATTTTGTAGATGGTGTTGAGGTTCGAGAGAACTCAACATAAATGAGGTAACTGTTCGAGAGAAACTTGCCTTAATTATAGTCTATTTTAGCCGTGATGAATTAGCATTATCGGTAATGAGATACACTCATTAAGTTGAATTCGATAGTTGTTTGGTCAACCTCCCAAGTGATTCCTAGTTATCTGATTGTTTTTTGTTGATAATTTGAAATGGGTTGTAACAACATCTTGAAATTTGACTGTGTAATTGTTAAGTGTTGTGTTGCTCAGCTGCAAAGGTCATTGTCATACTTTCGTATTTGAATTCAAAGAAAGCTACTCTCTGTGGTATCGACCCCAACTCAGTTGGTTGGGTTATATACTGAATAATGATCGTTGACACTTAGAATTGGATGAAGTGTCTTTGAAACGTTAATCAAAATTGCATAGCTGTCGTGGAGTAGCATTACTTAGAGTTCTTTTATCGAAGATTTGACTTGTGAATTTGTTGGTTGTAGTTGAATCAGCTTTGACTGCATTGTGTAGTATTGGTTGGAATAAATAGAAGTAAAAATGAGTGAGGAAGAGGTTAATGGTAGCCAAGCAGGTCATCAGGACGGTATCACTGATATCAATAATGTTTACAACCCATCTCAACCAGGTGAAATGGGTGCAATTTGCCTACCACAAACTGAGTGGAATGCAATATTTGAGGTAAGTAGCACGACTCTTCATGTCCTCCAAACGAGGGGACTCTATGGAGGGCTAGATCACGAAGACCCACATGAGCATGTAAGAAATTTTATACAGGTGTGCAGCCCATTTTCATTCAAGAATGTGTCACAAGAGTCAATCTAGCTTATGTTATTTCCATTATCTTTGACGGGGAAGGCTAACAAGTAGTTGGCCGAGTTACCAAACAACTTCATCACATCATGGGAGGAGTTGATTATAACATTCAATGTGATATTCTTTCCCCCATCAAGGATGATGAAACTTAGAGATGACATTAAAGGTTTCAAGCGATGGGAGGGTGAACCCATCCATGAAACGTGGGTAAGGTTTAAGAAACTCTTACTCAAATGCCCAACTCATGGGCTACCAAACGATTTGCTACTCCAATATTTTTAACGGAGTCTTGATTCAGTTAATAAAGAAGTGGTTGATCAATTAGTACGAGGGGGAATAATGTTGCAATTATTTGAGGTGGCTTCATTTCTTCTTGATGACATGACAAAAATAAATCAAGCTTGGTACACTCAAGAGGATCAAGTCTCCCCTTTTTGTTTTAGAATGACACAAGAACAACTTGATAAGGAAAGAGAAAGGGATGAAAACACCAAGAAGATGTTGACCCAAATGTAGCTATTACAAGAGCATATGATGAAGAATGTGGGAAAGCCCAAGGGGACAAGTGGAGTATTAGAGTTGAGGAGGGTTCTTCCTTAGGTTATTCAAAATCGAAGGAGAATCAAGGTTGGAACTCCAAGAAATACGAGGAGGGTTTCCACCCACGCTATTTAGAGTGAGGTGGGAATCACGGTTGGAACTATCACAAAGGGGAAAAGCAAAGAAGATACTATCAAGATTGGGCTGAGAAAATTGATTATTGGAAACGGGAGGATGACCATGAGAGGACCACACTCACTCGAGTGAGAGCCCAAAATTGAAAGGGAGTGCAAATAGTCCTCGGGTGAACGATTTGCTGTCACGCATCCTTAATAAAGTTGAAGGTTCGGATGATTTATTGAAAGGGATGCAAGCTGACTTTTCATCATTGAACAATAAAGTGAACTCTCACGCAGATGCAATCAAGATACTTGTAGGTTAGTTGAGTTTATTTTCAGCACAATTGAAACTTAAAATCACAACAGAAGATGATGATAGAGGGTTGGTTGTGGTTACTCGTAGTGGAAAGGTAGCAATAGGTGACATGACAGGCAATAAAGAAGCTCAAATGTATGAAGAAAACAAAGGTATGGAGGAAGAAGAGACACCTATTCATCAAAGCATTGCCAAAGAACCACAAAAAGATGTGGAGAAATACAATCCAATCCCAAAAGTTATGCAACCTTTACCCAAAATATCTCATCCATTTCCCCAACGTCTCAAGAAGAAGAATGAGGATGAGAAGTTCAAGAAGTTTTTATCGATGTTTAAGACATTATCAATTAATCTCCCTCTGGTGGAAGCATTGTTGGAAATGTCGGGTTATGCCAAATTTATGAAGGAGTTAGTCACAAAGAAAATGAGCTTGGATTTTGAGACAATCGAAGTTTCTCATAGTTGTAGTGCAATTATGACTAAGGAGCTGATCAAAAGGAGGGAAGATCCTGGAGCATTCACCATCCCTTGCACCATCGCCATGTTTCAATTTGCTAAAGCCCTATGCGATTTGGGAGCAAGCATCAACCTAATGTCATATGCGATCTATAAACAACTTGGGTTGGGTGAACCGAAAGCCACAACAGTGAAACTCTTGATGGCAGACCGATCAATTAAACATCCTGTGGGGATACTATATGACATCTTGGTAAAGGTTGACTGATTCATTTTCCCAAATGATTTTGTCATTCTCGATTGTGAAATAGATGCTGAAATTCCCATCATTTTGGAAAGACTATTCTTGGAAACTGGGAGAGTGTTGGTGGATGTTGAAAGCGGAGAACTGAAGTTTTGGGTGAACGAAGATGAAGTAACCTTTATTGTTTGTATGTCAATGAAGCACCCAAGTGATATTCACGTGGTCTCCACTGTTGATGTTATTGATGAGGCGGTGGCTAGTGTGAGCCATTTGATGTGTATGAGTGAACCACTTGAAGTTGTGCTTGCTAACTATGATGAATTCGAAATTCAAGGCTATGAATGTAGTAGCTGCTCTTTCAGGCTTGGGGGTGGGATATTCAAAGACTCCATTGAAGTTGGACATTGATCTAAAAAATCGAGAAAGTCCTCCCGCAAAGCCATCAACAGAAGAACCACCAAATCTGGAGTTGAAAGTACTTCCCTCTCATCTCCGATATGCTTTCTTGGAGGAAAATAACACCTTACCGGTGATCAATGCAGCTGACTTGCTCGAATGGCAGGTAAAATTACTCCTTGAGGTGTTGAGAAGGCATATCAAAGCTATAGGTTGAACTATCACTGACATAGTGGGCATTCCTCCCGGTATTTACACTCATAAAATTCAGCTTGATAGTGATTGTAAGCCGAGTGTTGAACATCAGCGAAGATTGAACCCACCAATGTAAGAGGTGATGAAAAAGGAGATAATAAAGTGGTTGGACGCAGGTGTGATCTATCCTATTGTGGATAGCAAATGGGTAAGTCTGATACAATGTGTGCCAAAAAAAGGGAAACATCACAGTAGTCCCAAATAAAAAGTGGGAGCTTGTATCTATGAGATCGGTGACCGGATGGAGAGTATGTATGGATTATCGAAAGTTAAATTCGTGGACTGAAAAGAATCACTTTCCCATGCCTTTCATGGATCAAATACTTGATCAACTCTCAGAGAGAGGTTGATATTGCTTTTTGGATAGGTATTCCTATTATAACCAAATCTCCATTGCTCCGGAAGACCAAGAGAAAACTACCTTCATCTGCCCATACGGAACTTTTGCCTTCAAACGGATGTCATTCAGGTTATATAATGCTCCGGCAAGATTTCAGCGCTACATCTTATCTATTTTTGCTGACATGGTGGAGGATTCAATAGAGGTATTCATGGATGACTTCTCGATTGTGGGTGACACCTTTGAAGCATGCTTAGCACACTTAGGACAAGTTCTCCAAAGATGTGTGGAGACAATTTTGGTGCTAAATTAGGAAAAATGCCACTTCATGCTTAAGAAAGGTATAGTTCTTGGTCACAAAGTGTCGCAAAAGGGGCTGGAGGTTGATAAAGCGAAGTTTGAAGTAATTGAGAAGTTACCACCACGAATTTCAATAAAGGGTGTTCGTAGTTTCTTGGGACATGCCGATTTTTATCGGAGGTTCATCAAAGACTTCTCAAAGATCGCACATCCTTTATGCAAACTCTTGGAGAAGGAGGTGAAATTCCATTTTGATGATGCTTGCATGGTGGCTTTCAAGTGCTTGAAAGAAAAATTGGTCTCCACCCCGGTTATCATTAGTCCCGATTGGTCAGAATCCTTCGAAGTAATGTGTGATGCAAGCGGCACGGCATTAGGTGTTGTATTGGGGCAAAAATGCAACAAACTATTTCACCCCATTTACTACGCAAGCAAAACTCTAGATAGTGCTCAACATAATTATACAGTTACAGAACAAGCGTTACTTGTGGTAGTTTATGCGTTTGAGAAGTTCCGGGAATACTTGCTAGGTACTAAAGTGGTTGTTCACACTGATCATGTTGCACTGCGTTATTTGATGGCAAAAAAGGATGTCAAGCCAAGATTGATAAGGTGGGTGCTACTGTTGCAAGAATTCGACTTTGAAGTCAAAGATAAGAGAGGTTGTGAAAATCAGGTGGCTGACCACTTATCATGATTGGAAGGCAGGGAAAATGACGAGCTGGAGATCGACATAAATGATTCTTTTCCCGATAAACATGTATTCACGGTAATTCTTAAACAACCTCCTTGGTATGCTGATTTTGCCAATTACGTAGTGTGTGGAATAATGCTGGACGAACTGAACTTCTACCAACAAAAGAGGTTCTTGTTCGATGTTAAGAAGTACTTTTGGGATGAACCATATTTATACAGAGAGTGTGCAGACCATATCATTAAGAGATGTGTTCCGGAAGAAGAAGCCATCAAAATTCTCCATGCTTGTCATGCTTCACCGGTTGGGGGTCATCATAGTGGTGTACGTATGACTGCTAAAGTCCTCCAAAGTGGCTACTATTGGCCGTCAGTCTACAAAGATGCTTATGAGTTTGTTAAGAAGTGCACTCAATGCTAGAAACAAGGCGGAGTGTCCAAAAGACACGAGTTTCCTCTTACACCCATTTTAGAACTTGAGTTATTTGATGTTTGGGGAATAGATTTCATGGGCCCATTTGTGAGTTCATTTGGTAATAAGTATATTTTGGTGGCCGTAGATTATGTTTCTAAATAGATGGAGGCTATTGCACTTCTAAACAATGAAGGGAGAAGTGTTGTTCAATTCCTCAAATGCTACATCTGTGCTAGATTTGGTACTCTTCGGGCTATTATTAGTGATAGGGGATCCCACTTCTGCAACAAGTGGTTCTCAGCCGCATTGAGTAAGTATGGAGTGAAACATAAAGTAGCAACTCTGTATCATCCCCAAATGAGCGACCAAGTTGAAGTGTCAAATCGAGAGATCATCTTAGCCAAGACAGTGAATGCTAATAGGACTGATTGGTCTCGAATGCTTGATGACGCGCTATGGTCGTATCGCACCGCATACAAAATACCAATTGGTATGTCTCCGTATCAGCTAGTTTTCGGTAAATCTTGCCATCTGCCAGTTAAATCGGAACACAAATCATTATGGGCATTGAAAGCCCTAAATTTGGACTGGACAAAAAATTCAAAAGAGGGAGTAGAGCAATTAAATGAGTTGGATGAATTCAGGTTCAAGGCTTACGATAGTTCAACCATTTACATGGAAATGATGAAGAAATGGCATGATTCTAAAATCCTTAAGAGGGAGTTCAGAGTGGAAGATTGGGTGTTACTATATAACTCTCGACTTAGACTCTTTCTAGGAAAGCCCAAGTCCAAATGGCCAGGGCCGTTTAGAGTGACACGAGTGTTCACAAATGGTGCTATCGAAGTTGAAGGTCAAGAAGGACCTGCATTCAAGGTGAATGGGAAACGCTTGAAGTTATACTTTGGCGAGTGCCAAGAGATTTCTCTGATTGAGGTGGTTTACCTGGAAGATGCTTGAGTGCATTTCCACGTCGTGCCACGATGTTAAATAAGGTGCTTCTTAGGAAGTACCCAAGTGTTAGTGTTTCAAATAATGTGTGTTGATTTGGCAGGTGCAAGATATTGCGTGATAAGAAGATGTTGGCGGATCGCCGAATCAGTTCGGCGAGCACGACATAGTCCGTCTTATGGACTTCAAAAATAGAGATGAGACACTGGAACATTTGGCGAGAGACCTTCATCACTCGGCGAATCGCCGATGTGGTTAGGCGACCCGATTTTTTCCGTTGTTCTACTCCATCGCTGATAGCTTAACTCAATGATTGTTCAACAATGTTACAAGTCCATTATGCAAAGCGCCGACCAATTCGGCGACCTCCTTCATCTCTACAGAATTGCCCCTTTCTTAGAGTGTCGCACACTGAAACTTAGGGCGATATCTGGACCATTGGGCGCATCACCGAGGCATTCGACGACTGTTTCATTTTCTTGCAAACTGGGCGCTTAGTGAAGATTCCTCATGACCTTGCTCTGCATGTTTACATACTAGAATTTTATCTTTATTTGTTAGTTTTTATTTTTATTCTTATTTTTATTTGTGGGAGTGTCTGTTCTCTACTCACATTGGGGACAATGTTAAATGCTTTTGGTGGGGGTGTGTGCTTGGTCAATGAGTCCCTTGTGTTCTTGGACCGTTTTGAAATATTTCCTTCTGAAAATTAATTTTTTGCCACCTCTTGTGTGTTTAATTGTGGTTGTTCTTGTGCAAATTTGAGTATCGATTATGATCAATAACGATGACTTGAATGGTGCTCTCAATCGAACAGAAATGAATGTGCGGCTATGATGAGACCAAATGAAGTTGCATAGAAAATATGTGAACTTTTTGCATCTCGTTGTGACTAGATGATTATTGAATTGAGTCTCTTGTGATGAACATTAAACACTAGCGAAAGTATAGAGTCTTGTTTAATATTGGTGCCAATGCCTTGTGTGATGAGCTTACCGTGAACCATGTGTGATAACACCAAGAATTTTCCCCATTGGTCCAGTTGACTAAGTGATGCAAGCTCTTGAAATGATCTTAGGCAACAATTTTGAAGAGTGAACCAATTTAACATTATACCTCTTTTGTGGCCTAACTTGTGAGTGTGTGAACTTTTCTTGAACCCCTTTGTGCCCTGTCCTTTTCTTGGATGAAACTTGAGCAAATGAGACCTCTCTCTATCCCTTCACCTATAATCCTCATGAAGTGTGGTTTGTTTGAATTGCCAACTTAGGCCAAAATCCTAAGTTGGGGGTGTGGTGAAAAGAGAAGGTAAATCAAGAAATGTAAAAGAAGTCCCTCTTGAGCCATGGTTATGAGAAATATGGAACCCCTCCATATAAAAAACAAATTAAAAAAAGAGAGAAAAGAAATGAAGAATGAAAAAGAAAAAGAACGAAAAAGTTGTGAAATAAAGTTGTGAAAGTTGTAAGAGAAATAGGGTGTCCGGTACTCCATGAGAAGTGAATAATGGGGTGACTTGTGAGAATGAGTGCAAATGTTGAAGAAAAGGAAATAAAGTGTTGTTAATACCACATTTCATGAGGATAGCAGCCATTGAGCCTAAATGACCATACATTTACACTCAGCCTCGTTTCAAGCCTTAAAATGATCATTTTGATATTGAATGAGCTGAAATTAATGTTAAGTGGAAAATAAGGCAAAACTATGGGTGAAGCCATGCATGTGTTCATCTTTGAGAGTGTGAGAGTTGTATGTGATTTAGGAACTTTAAATTAATGAAGAATAGTGTGTGAATATGGAATCACCTTTGTGTGAGGGCATTTGAGTACCTTTGTTGAGCTTGAACTTGCATTTGAAGCAAGTATTGTGAACTTGAGAATCTTTGAGAATGGTAAGTCACAACTTGAACCTTTTAGTGCACAATTGATCCTTGCGTGAGTAAGTTGAGTCTTGTTGAGTGCATTCATTATTGACTCTTGTGTATTAATGTTTGAGACATCCCTTTTGAACTGCTGAACTTGAGTTTTACTTGAGGACAAACAAAAGTTTAAGTTGGGGGTTTTGATGAGTTCGAGATTTGGACTCATTTAGGGCTTTATTTATAATGATTTAGTATCCTCATATGCTTATTTTATGCTGATGTAAAACCCGTGATCTTCAGATATATGGATTGAGGAACAAAGCTAGGACGAAAATGAGCAACAGAGACAACACGAGCGAAAAAGAGAAGGGAAAAAAAAGCTCGATGATCGCCGATGTCACTCAGCGACTCGCAAAGTTACCACTCTACCACCTAAAGTTACAAAATGGTAAGGCTGGATTAGGAGTAGCTTCGACGAGTAGCAGTTTCACTCGGTGCATCGCCAATCGCATCGGCGATGGATGACAAGCTCACCGAAAGTACTGATGGAGATCCAAATAAGTGCTAATGGGCGAGATGAAAGGAAAAAGGGCGCAACACAGAATGAGACGGCGATCTCGATCTGGCTCGCCTAAAATTACAGTGGTTAGACTAAGGTGAGGTGAAAAATGAAAGTGAGACGAAGGAGAATCGATGAGTCACCAAACAGTCGGCGATGCCCGACTTACCTCGCCGATTGGTCTCAAATAGCCACACATCAGACTTGCATAAATTGATTTTTGGAAGAGAGAGAAGGCATTCAAAAAACGTAGGGAACAAAAGATTGAGAGCAATAACACTACCTTTGTGGATTTCAAGTGATTTTATCAAGGTTTCCCATTTAAATTTTGTAATAGATAAGATTTTAATTAATTTTAACTTTCAAATTTCATTTACCTAGCTATGGAAAATGTGACAGGTATTGAATTTCATCTTTTCACTATGATTGGCTAAAACCCTAACCTTGGGGGTTTGACCATGTGATTAATTGTTGAATATTGCTAAATGGGTGTTATCGAATAGTGATTTTTTATGTTAATCTGAAGTGGGTCTAAATTAATATAGTGGTTAAACTTCCATATTGCATAGTTAGTGTGATAGATTTCAGAGTTTTGTGCTTGCTTGAGAGAGGAGTACAGAACCAACGTAGTAATTTGGCATCCTTAGTAGTGGGTCTTGACGGTTTCAGCTTAAGAAAGTGAAACCCAAGAGCTAGCTTTTATATCCAGCTTGAGAGAGTGGATTTGATGAGAGTGTGGGCTGGTCATTTCATAGATAGTGTTGAGGTTCGACAGAACTCAACAGAAATGAGGTAATTGTTCGAGAGAAAGTAATTGCCTTAATTATAGTCCATTTTACCGCGATGAATTACCAATATTGGTAATGAGATACAGCCATTAAGTTGAATTCGATAGTTGGTTAGTGAACCCCCAAGTGTTTCCTAGTTATCTGATTGTTTTTTGTTGATAATTTGAAGTGGGTTGGTAACAACATCTTGAAATTTGACTGTGTAACTGTTAAATGTTGTGTTGCTCAGCTACAAAGGTCATTGTCATACTTTCGTATTTGAATTCAAAGAAAGCTACTCTCAGTAGGATCGACCCCAACTCAATTGGTTGGGTTATATATTAACTAATGATCGTTGACACTTAGAATTGGATGAAGTATCTTTGAAACATTAATGAGCGCCCTGCGCCACTCAGTACGCCACGGTCGCCAAGACCTCTACCCTTTCCCACTTCTTTCCGTTTGAGTTCTCTTGAATCGTACCTATGTTTTCTAGTTGATTTCTACACTCTGTGGTACGTCTAACCATTATGAGATCTTCCATAAACACGAATCATAACCTTGAATCCATAATTCAAATTCAAGGAAAGTTAAGAGCCAAGTTTAGAGAAGTTCTTAGAGTCATTTCAAGAAGTCTTTTGCAAATGCTTTAAACTTATTTTAAGACTTGAGTTTTGAGTTGAGTAAAGAGTAACAAATGAAGTTCATTTTCTTCAACAGAGTATATGGGAACTATGTATTCCCAAAGAGTAAATGTTTTCACATTTAAACAAGAGAGGAAACACCAATTTCCAAGAGAGCCTTTGAGCTAGTTTTTGAGTAATTATCTCAAACCACAGAAAGCGTTATGTTTTTAAACATATGAACT